AAAAAAAAAAAAAAAAAAGAAAAAGATATGTCCCTCCCACCCTTCTGTGTTCTGGGAAATGGCTGAGCACAAAGAACTGCCCTTCCCCATGACTTAGATAACACTCATGGATGGCCCCATGGTTTACCTATGAAAAGGCCAGACACAGACCCTCCAAATTCCCACTTTGTCTCATAATAATTAGCTGAAACCACTGACCAATCTGGACAAAATACTTGCTAACTTGACCAAATATTAGTTATACTTCTTTTTTAAAATATATCTTTATTGATTTCAGAGAGAGGAAAGGAGAGGGATAGAGAGATAGAAACATCAATGATGAGAGAGTCACTGATTGGCTAGAGCCCACAACCCGGGCATGTGCCCTGACTGGGAATCGAACCTGGATCGCCTGGATCCTAGGTCGACGCTCAACCGCTGAGCCACGCCCGGCTGGGCTATACTTCTCTTCTTATGCCAGGTCCCAGAACTTTGATCCACCCTCAACCTGAGCCAGCACCAGAATGTGTAACAAGCCCTTAACAGCCCCTCCTGGGAATCGACTGACAGCAAGAGAAGACGTTTCCTGTTCATTTGTCCCGTCACACCACTTGCTCATCCCACTCCCCCGTTCCAGGTTCTGTTCAGCCTTGTGTACCTCTCCGAATGAAAGAGAACCCCTTTCCATCTGCCTTCGAGAGCTTACAAAGCTTATGGTTGGAGTGTTTTGCTGCTGCACTAGTCCTCCATCTACAGTAACAGGCCCCTTTTCTTACTGCAGTAATCCTTCTGAGTGAAGTCTCCCCTTACCTAAGTCCAGATTGGTTTTTAACACACAGAATGTATGGAAACCCACCCAGTTCCAGTTGGATTCCTTTTTCTAGACAAGAAACAAGCAAACTGATCACTGAAGACTGAAGGGCATCATTACTGACCACAGCATGGATAATGGACATAACAGTGGCTATCCTCTTCATGGAGAAGTTTCTGGCTACTCCTTCGCTTCCCTGCTGTTGTGTAATAAAGATTTTGGCTAGTCTTTGTTGCCAGTTCCTGAGAGGGAACCTTTAAACCCTTAGAATTTCTCAAGTGACAGGACTGTTTGGGTTACTCATGGTGGACCTTCAGATCACATCTAAGTTTATGTTTAGTGAGGTGACTCACAGTGGGCCCTAAAGAGTTTCAGGATGGGACTGGCCATGCCAGAAACCCCAACTAGGAGATTAGAGAGCTGGTGCACTGAGCCACCTGATATAATTATAACCTCCTACGGTGGGAGGAGGAGATGAAGATTGAGTTCAATCACATCATGTGAACTATGATTCAATCAATCATTCTTATTAGCCATCCCCCAATAAAAACTCTGGACCCTGAAGCGCAGGCCAGCTTCCTGGTTGGTGCTAAAAGGGTGATGCTTTCCTGAGGACAAGAAAACATCAAGTTTGGGACTCTCTCAGACCTCGCCCTATCTTTCCCTTTCTTTTAGCTTGTCCTGACTTGTATCCTTTACAGTAAAAGGTAATTGTAACTACAGTGCTTTTCTGAACTCTAACAGTTGTTCTAGTGAATTACTGAACCTGAGGAGGTAGTGGGCACCCCGAGTTTGTAGTCAGTTGGTCAGAAATATGAGTGGCTTGGGGCCTCTGGGCTTGTGGCTAGCATCAGAAGTGAGGGCAGTTTGTGGGGACTGTGCCCTTATCCTGTGAAGTTTCGGCTAACTCAGGGTTATTGTCTGAATTGCACCCACCCTTCTGAAGTGGTTTTATAGTTCTCTGCATTACTGTTCGAAGAGTGATTTCAATCATGGAGCTGCAGTTCACAACCAATGATGTGAATAAAGAGAGAGAAGAGAGTGCCATTCCAACAGTATAGTGCCATCTAAGCACTCACATTTCCACAGTGCAGTCCATCTGAAGGTGGAATGAAAGGAGGGCCTGGAATGGGCCTAGACCCAATTCTACCCTTAGTCTCTTTGCACCACCAAACTACCATCTTCCACACCTCAGGTCATACATGCATCTGCAAGCAGGGCCACGGGGATAGAAGAGCATGTGGTCAGTAATAAGTGCCCACTGGCAAACTGAAACACCACTTCTGCTAAAGTTTCCTGCTACTCCTAAGCCAGAATTAAACCAGAAGTCTTCCTAAATATGAAAAAACATGGGTCAAAGGTATCACCTGAGGGAGTCTGGCCACTTGTCCTCTGAAATACTGCTTAGCAGCTTCTGGAATGATCTAAAGAGTTCCACTTTGCTGATTCGAGATCTGTTTGGAAAAAGACAAAAAGGATTTAAGTGTTTGCTATGAACCAGATCCCTATCAAAGATGCAAGGCTTCACATGGTGTTTAGGTTTGGATGTGCCAGAGCCCCATTTTCACCTGTACTTGGCAAGGAGAAAATCTAGACCTGAGGCTTTGATTAGGTTGAGGCACAAAAATGAACCTTTTTTTTTTTTTAAATATATCTTTATTGATTTCAGAGAGAGGAAAGGAGAGGGAGAGAGAGAGAGACAGAAACATCAATGATGAGAGAGTCATTGATCAAGCCCGCAACCCGGGCATGTGCCATGACAGGAAATCGAACCCTGATCGCCTGGATCCTAGGTTGATGCTCAACCGCTGAGCCATGCCCGGCCGGGCTGAATCTCATCTTAAGAAATGTCATCAGCAGTGAAAAAGAGACAGGTTCAAATGGGGTAAAGATAAATTCCCCCCTGGATACTTATCAGCCATGTTGGCTATCTCCTTTCAAGGGAGCTGGCCCCTTGGGTAATACTGCTTACAAGAAAGTGAAAGCTTTGTTTCAGAACCTTGAGTGCTGCTCCCCATATAAAGTCCACTTGGATGATCCATCTGAGGCAGGATCCCCAGACTCTTCCTTTGGGCATTACAGGTCTTTGCAGGGCAATTCTTTGCTTCTAACATTAAGCTTTATGGAGGTCATCATTTGGAACAGTGAAGGAAGTGAGCATGGATTTCTTACCAACAACCTGAGCCTGGTTTGGCCCATCCATGTTGATGTGGCCTGGACTGTATGTGCCTCCTTCTTTTCCCTCAAATACACAATTCATGAGCAGATCTAGAAGTTGGGAACTGTTGTATGTGCCCATAATGTGTAATCTCATGTTTACACACCATATCCTTCACTGTCCTCACATATGGTACCATCAGCTTGGACACAGTAGCCATATTGGTATATATGATACAGGGGATTGTACAATCTGTCAAGAAACTCCCTTACCTGGCTGGGACCTAACCTACTGAAAAAAGTCACCTCTTAAAGCAGAACTCTGAGTCCTCACAGGCTGCTCTCCCTGGGCCTTCACTGTGGTAAGTGGCTGTTGGTGCTCAGGAATATAAAACTGCTTTAACATTAAAAAAATTCCAAAGCCAAGAAACTAATGGAACTCTCATTAACAGATTAACAGATTAAAGGAGAAAAGTAATATAACTATGAGGAAAACATATGCAGAAAAATCATTTGTTAGAATTCAACATCCATCAAATCATTTAAAACCATTTACAAACGAGAACTAAGAAAGGCATTTACATTCATAAAGGGTATCTCTAAAAACCTACAGCAAATATATGTCCTTAAAATCAAGAACAAGGGTACTTGCTATCACTGCTTTTATCTTACATTATACAGAAGGTTCTGTACAGGAAGACAAGAAAGAAAAGGAATAAAGTTTGAAAAGCAAACACCAAAGCCATTCTTTACAGATGAGTGTGATATTGTCAGTTCTAGCCAGCACAGTAAGTCAAGAAATGAAAGATATGGGGGATTAGAAAGGAAATGCTACTTGCAAAAGATTATCTATATTAAAAATTCCAGGTCCTAGCTGGGTAGCTCAAATGGTTAGAGCATCATCCCAATATGCCACAGTTGCAGGTTTGATCTCCAGTCAGGGCACATACAAGAATCTACCAATGGATGAATCAGTATATGGAGCAACAAATTGATGTTTCTCTCTCTCTCCTCTTCTCTCTCTCTCAAAATCAATAAAAATAGCCCTGGCTGGTGTGGTTCAGTTGGTTGGGTGTCATCCAGTGCATCAAAAGGTTGCTGGTTTGATTCCCAGTCAGGGCACATGCTCGGGTTACAGGCTCGATCCCCGGAAGGGGGTGTGCAGGAGGCAGCCAACTGATGTTCTGCTCTCACACTGATGTTTCTCTCCCCTCCTCTCTCTCTAAAAATCAATTAAAAATATATTTTTTAAATCAATAAAAATAAAAAAATTTTAAATTCCAGAAGAATTCCTAAATAATAGAATAATGAGCATGAGCAAAGTTGCTAGATACAAACATTGATTGCAGCAGAAACAAAAAACTGGTTTTAACAACAATGCCCAGAAAATGAAATAAAAAGAAATTACTTCAAATAGTATCTATAGTAACCAACCTCTAAGAGGGTGATTCTTGCCTCCTGGAATCCATGCCTCTGTGCAATCCCCTCCCGCACTGAATAGGGCTGACCTGTATAACCATTAGGAGGTTGCAGTTGCAGTGTGACTTCTGAGGCTAGGTCATAAAAGACACTGTGGCTCCTGCCTTGTTCTCGTGGACCACTTGTTCTGGAGGATGCCAGCCACTGTGTTATAAAGAGGAACCCTAGAAGCCTTATGGAGAGATCCAAGTTGTGAGGTACTGAGGCCACTTACTGACAGCCAATACTGACCTGTAGACCACGTGAGTGAGCCATTTTGGAAGTGGATCCTCTAGTCACAGTCAAGCCTTCAGATGACTGCAGCCCTGGCTGAGTTAATGGACTACAACCTTATGAGCCCCTGAGTCAGAATTATCCAGCTAAGCTCCTCCCAAATTCCTGACCCACAGAAACTATGAAATAATACATATTGATTATTGTTTTAAGCCACTAAGTTTTGGGGATAATTTGTTACACAGCAAGAGATAACTAATATAACACTCGAGGAAAAACTCTAATAAAAGATGTGAAAGATTTAGATGAAGAAAATTAAACTTTACTTATATATTTAGGAAGACCTAGGAAAGCTATACAGACATATGTAATTTTTTTTAAAGGTTACATTACATTGATATTTTTGGTCTAGCACTATCCTTACTCTAACATAGATACGCTTAAATTTATTTTTTTACCCCTCAGTCTTTTTTTTAAATAATCCAATGAGCCATATAATGATTGTCTAGGATGTTTGGTATCTGGACAGGGAGGGAAAGAGAATTTTCCACTTTAGGGCAAAGGACACACACACACACACACACACACACGCAGAGATTTAAATAAAATAGTTCCTTTAATGTTGCACTAGTATATTAAATGTCTCTAACATCCCAGTCTGAGTTCATATTCCCTATAGCTCTAAAGGTGGTCCCGGGATGCCAGTACTCAGGAATGAGCAATGAGAAAATCTGTTTCCTCCCCAGCAGCTGCTGGTCTTTAAAATAAAACTGACTCTTTCACAAATAATATGAAGCTTTATTTGACAAATGAAGGGGAAATCAATATTAACAAGATGTCTACTATAAGCTCTGCACCATATTAGAGGCACTCTCTCTCACTCAATTCTCACGACATTCCTGTGCAATACATACTCTTAGTTGCCCTTGCTTTATTGCTGCGGAAACGGAGGCTTAGAAAGGCAAAGTAATTTTCCCCAAGTTCACACAACCAGGGAGAAAGGGAGCCAGGAACTACAAAGCATCTGCTCTTTCCACCATATACTTCCTCCTTGTATGGAGTCTGCCTTCTAAGTGGAGAGACACAATGTGCCAGAGACCTCAGATCATCTCCTCCAATATCCTCATTTTACAGATGTGAACACACTGAGGCCCAGAGAGCAGCTGGAATTGTTCAAAGTCACCTGATAACTGGAGACAGAGCAAAGGTGAGAACAGGAGGCACTCCAAATCACACAGAAAGCAATGTCGTATTGGGAGAAGCTGGAGAACAGTACTACGGGAATTTAGAGAAAAGATGGTCATTTTGATCCAGAAGCCAGTGGTGGTTGAGCTAAGCTTTTAAAGAGGATGTGGATTCATTGTGCAGAAGAGCATTTTAGACTTAAGCAAAGCAGCAAACCTAAATCAGTCAGGTGGGTGAGGCCAGTATGAGTTTCCGCTAGCCTGTTACCAGAGCTCAGTAGAAAACATGTGGTTCCTTTCCCTCATGACTTGTTCTCCTCCCACAACCTCGGTCCCCTGAGGGGTGCTAACAATGGTGGCCTGAAGCCAGGAAGGCCCTTGGGGAAAAACTCCAAAAATCTCTACCCACAACAGTTTTGTAAATATTACTCAATTCAACATCCTAGGCCACCAGGAGACAGGCCAAGCCTGCCATCTAGGCCGTTTGAAAGCTGGTTAATGGCTGCAAAGAACAAACCTTTTTTAAAAAGTCAAATAAGGAGAAAGTTGTTGTTTGTGTCAAATCAGGCAATTAAGGCATGCCAAAAAATATATGAATCTACCTGTGAAATTTAATTACAACTCTATAAGGGCATAATAAAAAATGGAAAAAGACTATCTAAAATGGTGGGAGTCCTACAAGAGTCACTCAGCACACTTCAACCCAGACTGAGATGGAAATGCCTTTGGTGGAGAGGCCACTCCCCCACAACCCCTCCCACCCTCAGGCTATTGCAGAGCACCTGTGGCTCAGCAGGAGGAAAAAGGAGAGTAGATGAGACCAACTAAGCATCTAGCAAAAGAAGAACCAGTAAGATAAATGTAAGAATCTCCAAACACACAGCAGTGAAAACTGTCTCATGTCCAGCAGCTCATAAGCTCCATACTTCAGCAAAAGCCAATTTGAAGACAAATATTTCCATGGTGACCTTTTTGCCAATCCAATCACTATGGAGCTTTATAAGTGATTCTTAGGTTCCAACCTTGACCTACTAAACCAGAATCCCTAGTGGAAAAGCCCAAGAAAGTGTTGTTTTCAAAATCTCCCAGAGGAAAGAATAGCATTTCCAAAAAATGGTGCTGGGACAGCTGGATGCCAAAGAATGAAGCTGGACCCCTACCTCAACCTTATAGAAAAAGTAACTCAAAGTGGATCAGTCATAAACATAAGGGCTAAAACTGTAAAACTATTAGAAGAAAACATGGAGTAAATCTTTGTGACCAGGGATTAGGCAATGGTTTCTTAGATAAGACACCAAAAGCACAAATCACGAAAGAAAAAATAGGTAAAATGACATCAAAATTTAAAACTTTTTAAATACCATCAAAATGTGAAAAGACAACCCACAGAATTGGAGAAAACACTTGAAAATTTGTTTCTGATAAAAGACTAGTATCTATAATATATAAGGAAACCTTTCAACTCAACAAAAAAAGATAAATAAAGCAATTTTAAAAATGGGCTAAGACCTGAATAGAAGACACAGATCAGGTACAAATGGCTAATAAGTACGTGAAAAGATACTCAGCATCATTAGTTATTAGGGAAATGCAAATCAAAACCACAGTGAGACAGCATTTACACCCACTAGAATGGCTTCAATAAAACACATAGACAACAACAAGTATTATAAATGATGTAGGATAACTGAAACTCACACATTGCTGGTGGAAGTTTTAAAATGGTACAGCTGTTATGGAAAACAGTTTGGCAGTACCTCAAAAGTTAAACATAAGGTTATCATATGACCCAGAAATTCCATTCTGAGGTATACACAAGAGAATTGAAAACATATGTCCACTCAAAATCTTATACACAAATGTTCATAGTAGCTTTATTCATAACAGCCAAAAAGTGAAACAACCCAAATGTCCATCAGTGGATGAGCAGATAAAAAAAAGGTGATCTATCCATACAATGAAATATTATTTAGCCATAAAAGAGAATGAAGGACTGAAAAATGCTACAACATGATGAAGCTTGAAAACATGCTAAGTGAATGAAGTTAGACATAAAAGGCCACATGATGTATGATACCATTTATACGGCCTGTCCAAAATGAATAAGTCCATGGACATAGAATGGAAATTAGGGGTTACCCAGGTGAGAAGTGACTGCTAATGGGTACAGGGTTTTCTTTTGGGGATGATAAAGATGTTCTGGAATTAGTGGTGTGGTGTGAGTGCACTGCCACCATCTCCTTCTGCCCCAGTATGCTGTACCTGGCCTGAAGGCTTCCAATACCCTTCTTTGTTGTTCCCTGTGGAAAGCCGTTGGCAGTGACATCCAATGGCTGCTCAGGAACTGCACTCCAGCTGATAGCTATGAAAAGATAAGATTCTGGAGTTAAAACTGTTCAGTTTTCTATACATTCCAGAGGTGTTTTAATAAAAATATTTCCCTGCCTCTGCAGACCCATGAGAGCTGGATATAACATCAGACACAATGACTGTCACTCTGATACCTGGCTTCCAGAGTACAAGTGGTTCATGATTAATCATCATTGGAACCATTGTAACAACTAACACTCATTGAATATTTATTACATGTTAAACACATAGTAATGAATGAAACAGAATTTCTCATTTAATCCTCACAACAACCCTGATAAGTAAATGACATTCTTATCTGAAGGTGAAGAAATTGAGACAGAGAGAGGATAAGTAGGTTGCCCAGGGTCATACAGAACATGAACTTGACACAGTGTGGGTGTCTGGATGTCTCAAAGCCCACACTATGGACCATTTGGGTGGTAAACAGCCTACCCAGGCTGGGAGGATGCAGCCCATCCCAAGCCACTCCACGGTTTGGGAACAAGTTACTCCAGGGCAAGTGGAACCAGGATCCCTTACCTGCTCCGCAAGGAACAAGTCGGCCTGGGCTGTCAGCCCTTTTTGCCTGCACTGCACAGCGGCTCTGCTCAAACAGTAAATCTGACTGCTGTATTTTTACTTCTTGAACTCCAAAGCCTTTGGGTAAAGCTGAGATGTTCTGACACCTAAATGTGAGGGAAAATGCATTCAGTTTAGGCACACTCCTTTAGAAAGACAATATCTACGATTGTGGATCACATCACTACCCCACGCCTTAGGAGATGTGTGGATTTATTTATTTATTTATGGGGAAGGAAGTATGGGAGGGTGTGAAAGAATAGAATCTAAATCATATAAACCTTATGGAGGAAGATCCCTTCCGATCACTCTGAAGTGTTAACTATTTGAGTCACCACCCCTCGGTGACTTCAGTAACACCAAACTCCATTCCTGATGTCAGTTTTGAAAGATTTGAAAACCTTAAGCAGAAATATTAACTTGCTGACATCCGCCTCCTAGGGAATCCTTCAAACATACCAGAAAACAAAATTACCCTATAATAAAAAAGCTTAACTTGTTTCTCTTGTATCTTTCACATCAACTAGATGCCAACATGACGCTGGTAAATCGTATTTTTAAATTAGTGTTTTTGTTTTTTTTTAATATAATTTATTGATTTTAGAGAGAGAGGAAGGGAGACACAGAGAGAAACACTGATTTGTTGTTCCACTTATTTATGCATTCATTGGCGTATCTTGTATGTGCCTTGACTGGGAATCAAACTCACGACCTTGGTGTTTCAGGTCAATGCTCTAACCAACTGAGCTACCAGGCCAGGGCTTCGTGGTGCTGGTTTAGAGCTGAGTAGACAGCAACTTAAAAATGTCAGAATAGGGAAAAGATGGAAGATAGAAAACATCTTGGGCACAGTGCCTAGGGTTGCTTTTATAAAAAACATCTTGCCCTGCTGGGCATGGCCCAGCAGTTGAGCATCGACCTAGGATCCAGGAGACCGTGGTTCGATTCCCGGTCAGGACACATGCCTGGGTTTCGGGTTTGATCCCCAGTGGGGGCCCTGAGGGAGGCAGCCGATGAATGACTCTCTCATCATTGATGTTTCTCTCTCTCTCTCCCTCTCCCTTCCTCTCTCTGAAATCAATAAAGATATATATATTTAGAATAAATAAATAAACATCTTTATTGGAATATAGTTTATATATCAAAAAATTCACCCATTTGAAGTGCATAATTCAATGTATTTTTTAGCATATTCACAGAATTATGCAATTATCACCACAATCTAAGTTTATAACATTTTCATCAGGCCAATAAGAAACCCTGCACCAATTAGCAGTCACTCCTCATCCCCTTCTCCAGCCCCTGGCACCCATGACTCTACTTTTGGACATTTCATTACATAAAATCATACATCATGTGACTTCTTTCACTTAGCATAAGGTTTTCAAGGTTTATCCATGTTACAACATGTATCAGCCCTTCATTTTGTGTGTGTGGCTGAGTAACAGCCCATTGTATGGATACACCATATTAGCTTTATTCATTCATCAGCTGATGGACATTTGGGTTGTTTCATTTTTGGCTATTATGACTAATGCTGCTAAAAACATTCATGTACAAGTTTTTATGTTGATATATGTTTTCATTTCTCTTGGGTATGCACCCAGGAGTGGAATTAGTGGGTCATATCCTGGGGCTGCTTCCCGGAGTTGACTTCAGGTCACCTGACACAGACCATTTGACACAGGTTCCAGGCTTCCCCTGGCCATGGCTTCATCCTGCCCTCAGTTACTACAGCATTCAGTGGGTTTGGCTGCCTTCTTTAGGGAGACACCACTTGAGTGGTCATTGTTTGTCATTTATTGTTTCAAAAATTAACACTAATGTTTTAAGGTTTTTAAAAAATTTAACAATGTATGTACACTGTAGAAAAATTAGAAAATACAGTAATCACTAAGAAAAAACTACCCTTAATATCGCATCAGTGAAATTAATAATACCTTTATGTATATCCTCCTGCAATTTTTTTCTATAGTCATATATACTATAAGACCAAAATGAACTTATTTTATCTTCTAAGTTGTTTTTCAAACATTATGAGCATCTTACCATATTAAATTTCTTCAATAGAAGTCTTAAAGAAAATCACTTGATCTATTGCTGGCCATTTTAGTGGTTTCTTTTTATAAAATGACTACACACAAAGCTAAACATTTGAACACTTCCCTAATTATTTCCTTAGGACAAATTCTTTGCAGTGGAAATGATGGATCAAAATGTATGGATATTTCTAAGGCTCTCTGGACATACTCTCAGACTGCTTCTTGGAACGATTGTTATGATGGAGCCCTCTCTCCGTGCCTTCTCACCTCCCAATTAGTGCTCTCTGCATGGCTTCCTGGCTGTATGGGCACTTCCCAATGACCACAGCTGACAGGTAGATGGGCTCTTCTAGGAAGTGCATTAACAGTGATCCCTGGCATCCAAGGACATTCCACCGTGCCAACTTGTCACTGCAAGACATGGAGCAAGTCCTATCTCCCCGGCCTGGCTTCACTCGGAGCAGCCCCACCTGGTGATATGCAGCACCAGGCTTCCCTGAGTCTCCAGCTTCTCCAGGCACACACTTGGCTCCAGTTCTATAAACATCCACCACTTTGGCACCACTGGGCACCATTCTAGCGACAGTGGCCAGTTCCTCTGAGGTGAGATTAGAGCTGCTGACACTTGGTGGGATTGGGTCACTTTCCTGATTGCCAAAACTCCTATGGTGGGCCACACCGTTGGTGACTTTTCTTTCAGTAGTTCTGGGCTCAAGCCTCATTTTTTTGGTCACAGGACTGTCCGGGTCTTCATATTTCCTTTCATCTTCAGTAGATTCCAGGTTACCACTGGCTTCTACTGATGGGCTATGGGCCCAATCTCGACTGACAGGACAGCAAGGCTGATCTTCAAACTCGAGCATTGGAATGATGGAGGCATCCCCACCTACAGGAGAAGAAATCCCTTAAATCAGTGGTTCTCAAAGTGCGACCAGCCACAGCAGCATCCTCTGGGGACTTGTTAGAAATGCAAATTCTTGGGGCCCACAGTAGACCTATTGCTTCAGAAACTCTGGAGGTGGTATCCAGCAGTCTATGTAACAAACTCTCCAGGTGATTCTGATGCAAACTCAAGTGTGAGAACCATTGTTTTAAACAAAGCTCAATATTATTCTCCGGGCTGACCTGAGATGAATTAAGAACACTTGCCCACATTTCCCTAACATGAATCCTCTTCTTGATGACCTTTGACCCTGTCCTAGACTCTGAGTTAGAATCTCTGGAGAGGAGGGGCCTGGAAAACTGTGTTTTAACAAAGATCCTAGGTAATTTTTATCACAGGAAGTTTTGGAAACACTAGTTTAGACCAGGGTTACTCAACTTCTCATTACTAACATTTTAGGCCAGATAATTCTATGCTGTGGAGTCTGTCCTGTACATTATAAGATGTTTAGCAACCTCCCTGGTCTCTACTTATTAGATCAATAGCACCCCCTAGTCTGACCATCGAAAATGTCTCCAGATGTTGCCAAATGTCCCCTGGGAAACAAAATAGTCCTAAACTGAGAACTGCTGGTTTAGAATGAGCAGTTTCCCAACTGCATTTTGTGGAATGTTATCCCACAAGACGTCCTGGAAAACAAAAGTGGGTGGCTGATTTCACGGTTAAATAAATTTGGCAAATAATGCTTATAATTTCCCCATCTTGGAAATGTATGTGCACATCCTCAGAGTAAAAACTCTGTAGTAAATTACACAGCTGGTGTTTCCCGTGCTGGTTTAGAGATTTCTGACCTACTCTGTGCTTACAGGGAATTAAAAAAACAACACGCAGCTTAGTAAACAGCACAGGTCCCCATTGAGAAGGGAGCTACGTACTTCTTCAAACACTAACCTAATGTGTGGTGCTTTTCTAAAGCGTGTGAATAATACATCTGTAGCCCTAAAACCCAAGAGTTGGGAAGGCAAGAGATGCATTAGTGGGAGTGTTGCCAGAGAGGCTGGCTGGCAGATTCCCAGAGTTTACAAGGTGACAATGACTTTGGAGAATTCACCAGGGCTCACCTCCCTCGCCACAGGCTCAGAGATTTGATCTTGACAGATGCCTGAACTGGAGAGGCTGACTCATGCTAATAAAACTCACAAAAAAAGAGCCTGAAGTAGCTAACCCATGCACCAAATTATCAATTAATAATGAGGAATAAATACCAAGAGAGCCCGATAGTCACATTCTCTAGTTAGTGTTCTTTCTGCAAACAAACCATGGGTGCATCACAATTTAAAAAAAAATTTAGAGCTCTCCCTCCCGGGAGCATTCTGGCACCTTCCCCTTCCCCCTCCTCTATACCACTCCCAAGCCTGCTACCTTCTGAGCCTATTTCTTTTACAGTTCACTTCTCCCTCTATGACTTACTAAATACATTTTTCTCTTATATTTTGAAAAAAAAACTTTTTTAAATGAACCAGGGGAGTTAGATTAGTGGCTCTAGATTTTGATTTCACAGGTCAATAAAATTTCCAGAAGATTTTAAGATCAACAGAGGGTGGTCAACTTTTTATTCCATCAAGTAAGATCTTTAAAAATCCTAATTGCTATTATTTTAAAAAGATTAAAATCTCATAACCTTTAAATGGAAGGCATTTAGCTTTTTGAAAAACTCACTACATAGTCCTGCTTTTTCTCATAGATCAGTACACTCAGAGAGCAGTACCAGCTTGTGGACCATTAATTTATGTCATTTGATTAGGCGGTCAGGCCAGCTTGATTCCTAGATGCATCTGTCTCCACAATAAGACTACACCTGCTACTCAGCCAGGCCCTGGTTACTCAAAGTGTGGTCCACAGGCCAACACCAATGGCATCAACCATGAGTTGTTTAGAAATGCAGAACCTCAGGCTCCACCCCAGAATTTGAATCTGCATTTTAGCAAGATCCCTGGGTGATTCGTATGCATATTGATTCATATGCAGTTTGAGAAGCACTGAGAGAGGAAACATCCTTTTTGGTCCTTGGACCAGTGCACCCACTTCTAAGAACAGCAAGGATGAGCCCTACCTACCTCTATATGTCATTTTTTTCTGGCCTTTGGATTTTAACCAACTCTTTTTCGCTAAGACTCATTCTTTCTTAAGCTGTATTATATTTTTGATTTGAGTTATGATGGTCTCGACAGCTATTCTGTCTCTTAGAGTGATTACCTATCTCTGCTCTAATTACATGTGTTACTCTTACTCAGAGGACAGTCTTATATACTTATTTCAAAGTTTTTAGGGTGAGGAAATTTTACTGCCATCCCTGAATTGTCTACAAAGGGCAGAAATTATTCTTAATTTTCAAGACAGAAAAACAGAGGATAGAAATGACTCTCTGTAGGCTAGGTCTGGCCTTTCTGCCTAATGCAATCAAAGCACCTGAACATCCCCTTATAACTCATCAAAATTTACCTTAACTAACCATGACTGTCAACATTCCCTAAAAGACTCTATGAGAGTAGGCAAGGAACTAGTCTTCTTCACTGCTATGTACCCACTGAATACAAGTAGTATTCCTGGGAAGAAGTAGAAAATACTTAATGAATAAATGAATGAATGAATGAATGAATGAATGAATGAATGAATGAATGAAATGAGTTTGAAATTCTAAGCCTTATTGTTGGTTTCAGACTGTGTGTGGTTTCAGCTTTAGGTTTCCCAGTCCTGATTAGAAACTGAGAAGTGAGTAATATGAGTGAGCCCCCCTCCCCGCCAACCCCAACACCCCAACACCCACGCCTGCCTTTTCTTGGCAGAGAAATGATTAGGCACACTGGCCTGTTCACAAAAAGGTATTGTTGCCAGTTGTAGCTACACTTCAGCCAGAAGTGCTTTTTGAGAAATATACCTATGGATAAGACAAACTTAAGGAAGTAGACAATGCAACATTAATCCAAAGGCTTGAATATACTTACAGGGTGTATGGCTGGAGAAAAATAAAAAGAAGAGGTCTGGTCTGAGTTTCCACAGTCCTCTCTGAGTTCCTGGGACAAAGATGCTATCTTCCTTCAGAGCAGCTGCCAAGTGAAGTTGATGGAGAAGGTACCTAATGGGTACAGAATGCTATCAGAAAGAACACCAATCTCTGTGGAAAAGGGGAGGACTGGCTGGGTGGTTACTAAGAAGGAAAGATCTACTAAAGACCAATGGGGCTGACAGTGATTTGGAATTATGAGAATTATCTAGACCAGTGATTCTCAAAGTATGGCCCTTGAACGGGCAGCATAAGCATCACCTGGAATTTGTTAGAAATGCAACTTCTCAAAAAAAAAGAAAAGAAAGAAATGTAACTTCTCAGGCTCCACCCTTGACCTGCTGATTCAGAATCTCTGGGGGTGGGCCCAGCAATCTGGATTTTAACAAAGCCTTTAGGTGATTCTGATGCACACTCAAGTATGACACCCACTGTATAGACCAGTGTTAATCAAAGTTTAGTTCACAGGCTAACAATCAATTTTACTTGGGAGTTTATCAGAAACGCAAATTCTGGGGCCCCCAACCCAGGCTAAATCAGACTCTGGGGATGTGACTTTACCTTTGGAAACTCCTTCTGGCTATGACCTCAGCATGGCTATCATTGAGGATATCTCCTGTGGCAAAGACAGGGCACTAGTGAAGACATATGGAACCTGGAGAAACCCTGATTCCTAGAAGCAGAACACAGCAGCTTCCCCCAGCACCCAGGATGGCCATGTAGCTCCTGGAGGGCTTTGCCAGAAAGTATCACAATCATTAATGGCAATTCATTTACTGCAGGGTTCCTCAAATAAGCACTACTGACATTTAAACTGGAAAATTCTTTGTTGTAAGGGCCTGTCCTGTGCATTGTAGGATGCTGAGCAACATTCCTGGCAGGCTGGAAGCATACTCCCCTCCTCCAGCTGTGACAACCAAAAATTTCTCCAGACATTGCCAAATGTCCCCTGGGGGGCAAAATCTCCCCTAGCTGAGAACTATTTATTTATAGGGAAATCTTTATCTAGAGGAAAGGGGTCCAGATCTCTTAGCGCTGGAATCATACATGTGCTCATGGTGATACAATTCCATGGAATTCAATCCATGGAAAAACTTTCTCATATACAGGAGGAAAAGCTAGGAGAATGGGGGAAGCAAATGCGAGGAGGCCTCTGCTAACTGGAAGCAGAAGGTGAAGATGCCAGATCTCCAAGGAATTTCCATATTCTTTTTTGTGCCAAAGTCTCCATTTAATTCAATTCAAGATTATTTCTGGGGTTTCAGAGATACAGTAGATTAGCTAAACCCAGGAAACTTCCGGCTTGCACATGAAAATACTGGTCAACTTTCAATCCACCCAGAACGCAGGCTCCTGGCAGTCTTTGCTTCCGTCATTTATTCCCATTCTTTTTTTTCTTTTTTTTAATATATCTTTATTGATTTCAGAGAGAGGAACAGAGAGGGAGAGATAGAGATAGAAACATCAATGATGAGAGAGTCATTGATCAGCTGCAGCCTGCAATCGGGGCATGAGCCCTGACCGGGAATCGAACCCTGATCACCTGGATCCTAGATCGATGCTCAACCGCTGAGCCACGCCCGGCTGGGCTATTCCCATTCTTTAAATGAGTTCTGTCTTTCCAAATGGAGTGACAGTCAGTCTGAACTGAAGTGTCAGCCAACTCAGTAATATGGCGCTGTTGCCCTGAAGAGGAGAGGGAAGGGCAACATGGACACCATTTCCAAAGCTCCCTAGACAGGCAATGCTTAGACCCAATGTGGGCTTACCGCTTTTCCTCATTTTGGATTGGCCTATGCATTTTGTTCCTGTTCCCATTGACACAACTTCCTTTGTCACTGAGGGGAAAAAAAATGAGTCATTAAGTGAGATTTTAGAATCGGAATAGTCCCCAGTCCTCAGGTTTAATAAGTCTGCACATTTCTCTAGGGCATTTCCTTTGGCTGACCCATCTGAGAAGACCGTGGTTCCAGCTCAGCCATCTCCCACCACCTGAAGTACTGCACCACCTGGTGGAAAGCAGGGGAACATGTCCAACATCGCAGTTTATATTAGGTGATGACTGACCCTGTAGAACCATGTATAATTCTACCATCTCTGACATAAAGAGGGAGAGTTTCAAGGAGAAAAAGTCTCACCTTGTACCTCTTTGTCAGGGCAGTCACAGGCTTGGTTAGCTATAGGCTGTATCTTCACCACAGCTGCTAGTAATGTCCATTCGCGGTTGGGCTCAGGCTTCCCCTGCTTGGGCAGCCTGGTCCCATAGTGCTCATAGCACAGGTGGGCAATCTCATCTGGGGTCCACATGGTCTGAGCTAGTGCTGAGATCCTGATAAAAAACCACAACCATCATAAGTATAGAAAGGAGGACCAATGCACAATGCTTCACCCTGCACCAGACTGCTTCAATAGGCTTCCAGGTGTAGCCCACCAGTGTTTATACTGAGGTTTCTCTATCTGAAACTCTATGGGTCACTTTCTCCTACTTCCCTGCCCATTTTCTTTTTTTAAAATCCTCACCTGAGGATATTTTTTCCCTTGCTTTTCAGAGAGCGTGGAAGGGAGAGAGAGAGAGAGACAGTGATGTGAGAGAGACACATCGACTGGCTGCCTCCTGCACGAGTCTGGACCAGGGCTGGGGATGGAGCCTGCAACTGAGGTACGTGTCCTTGGCTGGAACCAAACCAGGACCCTTCAGTCTGCAGTCTGATGCTCTAACCACTGAGCAAAATCAGCTAGGGCTTCCCTGCCCATTTCTATCTTTAAGGAAAGATCAAAGAAATCCCAAATCCTACCAACCCCCAGAAGACACCTATTTCTTCAAGCTGTTTTTTAACTCATTTTCAAGCATTTTATTTTTCTCTTCCCAACACCCCCCCAAATTGGTTCTTTACCTCCCTCTAGCAAGTCTCCACTGACACCCCTATCAGGAAAGCAACCCTTTAATTTCTCTGATAACGTTTTATGATGCAGAGGGGAGAAGTGACAAAGCCCAGTAATTTCTCACCAGTCAAGAGTTCTCAGGAATTGTGAAGTGTGGGTTTTAGTCACCATTTCTGGGTTCTAATTATGGCTTTGCTTATATTAACTGTGTGGAATTGGGTAGATTACTTAACCTGTGTCTGTTCCTTCATCTGTGAAAATAAGAATAACAGTAGTATTTAATCCATGGAGTTATTGCGAGGATTAAATATTTCTAGAAAGTAACTGCTATAATATTGAGCATAATTAGTGTCAACTGTGATTAGTATTACTAAAAAGAACCTTTGGTTTTCCTGACTGATTTGCCCTGAGCTCCTTGAAAGTGGGGCTGTAATGGGTGCATAAAGCCATGAATAAAAACTGGTTAGTAGATGAGACCTGAAAGAGGCCTAGGATACTTTGCGAGAAACTCTCCCACTCTTGACTATTGACTATCAATGACCTCATTTGGACTTCAATGTATGAAAAGCTTCTTGGTAGAAAATGAAAACATATGATCAGGACATAGCCAAACGTTTGAAAAGAAAAAAGACTTTACTGGGCCTCCTGAAAACTGATGTCTCTACAATAAGCCCTGTACCTGGCCTCCTTAACTACATAAGCAGGTCATCTCCTTTTCCAGACCCCTCAGGGCACAACCACCACCAGAACAAGAGACCAGAACCCCTCATTCTCATCTTGTTCCCCAAATACAATCTCTGTGTGCTATGTTGATTACTAACTATCCTGTACCCACCAATGTAAAAAATCTATGTGTTCTCTTTTGCCTTTTTTATCCAATTCCAGAGATTTCCCTGCTTTGCTTTCTTCAGCCCCCTTAATTTACATGGATTTCATGTAACCCTCCATATGTCTTTTATTCTAATATATAAAATAAGCTGCAAAACTGCCACTCTCCAGAGCATTTTCTCAATCCATCAAGGTTTTGCTTCCTGACCATTTTCAGTTTGGTTCAAATAAGCTCATAAAATTATAGGTTTGGATGTTTCTTACCTCCACAAAGCTTACATCAAGACACTAAGGACAACTAATCACAGCCAATTAGGCTTTAAGGTATACCCAGGCAAATAATTTCCTTTCTTGCTTATGCACGGTCTGTCTTTCCCCTAGCTGCTATCTGCAGAGTGCTCCAAACCACTTCCTGTTTGTGCTGGAGGATTAGTATTGATTTTTGTTCAAATAAACTCTTAACATTTTAGCAGTTCAGGTGTGCAGGCCTGTTATTGAAATAATTGGTCATGGAAAATCAGACCACAGTGATTGAAACACAAGAATCTGCAGGAACTGACATAAATTGTGACTTTAAAGTCAGACCCAACATAAGTCTTGCATCTATTGGAGTAAAAGAAAAGCACGGGAGATCCTAAAATCCTCCATTTGGGTTTCCCTCTCATTCCTAGGGGTCATAGGGCAGTATATTTTATGAAGGCAGATAATTAGATAACCAACCTGTAATTAACCAGAGATACATATCACAAACCACTAGTAGCCTAGAAAGACAGAACTTGCTAGAAGAAACGTTGACTCCCTAAGATGAAGCATCCCAGAACTGTATCATCACCTCATTAACATATTTGAGTCTGGATGGGCCTGCACAATAGTTGAACAAATGTTTTTGATATACTGGGTCCACTAAAATTCAAATGCACTCTCTCCTAGATCTTGAATAGCTTCTTTCTGTGCAACAATAGCTCAGTTAAACAGGTTGTGTTTTTGTTTTGTTTTGTTGCCCACAAGACCGCTTGTTATCACAGCTGCAAAAAGCTTATGAATCCACTTCCTTTTCAAATAAAAATTAAGGCAGGCCGGCTGCCAGGGGAGGTGAAAGGTTTAAGCGATGTTGCGAGGACAGTAAGCCTACTCCCCGCAGGCCCCCTCCTCCATAAACTTGGAAGCGGACTCTCTTCTTGGCTGGCACTAGAGGCTCCCCGGCTGGGGCCCATTCGGCCAGTTACAAGAGAGACTCCAGGCCCGCGAAGCAGGGACACCGCGCGCCCGCCCCCTTGGGCCCTGCGGGATGCGGCTGCGAGGGCACCTGCCCCGCTCTCGCCCGCAGCTGGTAAAGCGGCCCCTCCATGAAAGCAGCAGCACTTTTCCACGTAACGCGCACCGGGGGTGGCACAGTCCTCACCTCTTCCCACACAAAATGGCCTCAGAAAAGTCAGACTGAAAGCACCTCGCCCAAGAGCCTCAGAGAACCCCCCCACATCCGCACGCCCTTGGCCGCGTACACCCACCGCCTCACGGACGCTACCCTCCCACCTTCAAGACGCGCGCCCTCGACGGAGCACGCGGAACCGGCGCAGCGTAGGGAACGTGACGTCGCCAGGAGGCTGTTCTTCAGGCCCCGCCCCCAGTGGCGCGCAGTGAACGCTGGGCCTTGTAGTCCGTCCGCGGGGCGTGGTGCTGGTGCGTGGAGTCCGGCGGCTTGCGGAGCTGAGCTTAAGAAATCCGTGAAACGGGCTGAGGGAAGCTGGCGCGCTGGTAGGATATGGTCTAAACAGCAGCAGAATGACACCGCGTTTTGGAACACTAGTCTGAATTTTTGTCTAAAACAGCGCTGTCCAGGAGCCCTGGCCGGGAAGCTCATCTAGTTAGAGCGTTGCCCCAGTATGCCAAGGTTGCGGGTTCCGTGTCTGGTCAGGGCACATCCAAGAAGCAACCAAGGAACAACGCGTAAGTGAGTGAACAATAAACCGATGTTTCTCCCTCTCCCTCTCTCCTCTCACTCTCTCTCTAAAAAGTCAGTAAAAATAAAATTAAAAAAAAAAAAGGGAGGCAGATGAAATAATTAAAAAATAAAATAAAAAACAGAACTGTCCAATAGAAATATAATTTGAACTAGATATGTAATTTAAATTTTTCTAGTAGATACATTTTAAAAAGTCAAAGGAAACACGTGAAACTTTAGTTTTTATCATATATTTTATTTAACCCAGTATATACAAAGTATTATTTCAGTGTGTAATCAATAAAAAAATATTGAGGTATTTGACATTCTTTTTTTCATACCAAGTTTAGGGAAACCGGTATTTTATACTTATAGTACATCTCAATTTGAACCAGCCACATTTCAATTGCTCAGTAGCCACATGTAGCTAGTGGCTACTGTAACGGACAGTGCAAGTCTAAAACCTTCAGATTGTCAGGAATAGATAGTATAGCTGTCTGGGTTGTTCAGGAGTTTGTACAATCCCTTAACTGTATACCTCAATTTCTAAAGATGAGAGAATTCACATTTCTTCTTGTTACCCCTCAAAATTTAGAGACAGACATTTACAATTTACTTATCCCATCCTTCTCTCTAGTTCAGAAGGGCCAGAGGCCTCCTGCAAGTCCAAGGATCCTGTTCCTCATTGCTGTCTCTCCAACATTTTAAAAAATATATGTTTTTATTGATTTCAGAGAGAGGAATGGAGAGGGAAAGAAACATCGATCGGCTGCTACCTCCTGCACACCCCCTACTGGGGATGGAGCCAGCAACCCCAGCATGTGCAACGCTGGTGTATGTAAAGCAGCACACTTGCTGGGGTCTCCAAATCTTTAATCTGCAACTGATTCCCCTCTTCTGTCTTTAAAGAAGAGCTGATCCTGGTGGGGGAATCATCTTCTAGGGTTCGTCTCAGGGATAGGTGCCACCATCAATCTAGTTGCATAAGTTAAAAAAGTGAATCATTCTTCTTGTCATTTCCCCTTAACCCCTACAGTGTAATGTTGCCTTTTCTTGCCCTACTCCTTCAAAGCATTTACCAGAGCTTCCATTTTATGTTTTTTTGTTGTTTTTTTTTTAAAGCCTTACTTGATATCTTTTCCATTGCTCTTCAGAGAGTGGAAGGGAAAAAGAGAGAAACATCAATGTGAGAGACACACGATTGGTTGCTTCCCACATGCGCCCTGACCAGGGCTGGGGATCTAACCTGCCAACAGAGGTACGTGTCCTTGGTGAAAATCAATCCCAGGACCCTTTAGTCCACAGGCCAATGCTCTAACCACTAAGCCAAACTGGCTAGGGCCATTTCGTATTTTTAATATAATTTAAAAATATATATATATATTGATTTCAGAGGGAGGAAAGGAGAGGGAGAGATAGAAACATCAATGATGAGAGAGTCATTGATCGAGCCCACAACCCAGGCATGTGCCCTGACCAGGAATCGAACCCTGATTGCCTGGATCCTAGGTCGATGCTCAACCGCTGAGCCACGCCTGGCCGGGCTTGTACATTTTTAATGATTTATTAAATGTCTGTTTTCCTTACAAGTCTAGAAGCTTGATGAAGCTTGGGACCATGCCTCTGTTCACCCCAGCACAGCAGTTAGCAAATTGTGAGCCGTCAACTGTATAAGGAGATACTGACAACTTTATAATCCTTCTAGCTTTCATCCTGTTTGTCATTATCCTGCTGACCCCATAAACAAGTTGTCTACTGCTACTTCAATTCTATCCCCAGCCTCCTTGAGACTGAGAACTAGCTTCTGCCCCCAGTCTACTGCTAAAAAGCTTTTTGTCACTTGTGACCTCATTAATCCTTATTGCCTCTTCCAACGGTCCACATTGATGGTACAGTGTTGCCTAAAGTCCAGACCCTTATCTTGACCGTATACCCTCTCCCTTGATGAGATGACTGTTTTCATTTTACTTAACATCACCTTGCAGAAGGATGTGCCAGGTGGAAGTATTTCTTATGAAATACCACTGGCTATCTACTATCACTACTAAGTGCTCCTGGAGCCTATGCTTAGGCCAAAAACAGCAAGAGGGGGAGGCGTTCACCTCTCCCTGAAGTACTTCCTAGTTAGGTAACTGCATGCCTAGATCATTTTATCAACTAAGTAGAAACCTGTGAAAGTATCTCCCAAAAGAGGATGCTTGCTGTTTTGCTGAGGTACAGAAGACAAGTCCTTTGTTGTATGACTCATCAGAAAAAAGGTCCCCATAGCTGCCTCCCTGTCAGGGATCAGCGATTCCATTATAACAGCAGTCCCTCAGCCATACCCTTGTCATTCTTGAACTGAGCTGAAAATAAGAAAATTTCAG